AAGCATAGGATTGTACCCTAAATCTTTCTCTTACAGTTGTCTTCACTGGCAAATACCACTCATCCCATTCAACAGGTCAGTAGAGATGTACATTACAAGTACTATGTTGGTCAGGTAATGTTCAAGAGTGTCTTGGGACTGCAGGAACCATAATGTGGCAATAATGAAATTGGAAAACTGCAAGGGGCTGAGTGTTTCCTATGGCCAGACCCTTCCTGCTGCCACAGAGCGTGCCCAAGACTCCCACAGTGCATGGAAGAGTACAACCACACTTTGAGATGCACTGCTCCATTGAAAACCAGAAACTAATCTTCTACACTAATCATATTGCTTTCAGTGAAAGAAGGCCTTTAAGGTAAGAAATCATGTAAAAATAAGTGTTGTACCTCAGGAAACTCTAAAGAAACCATATAGACTTAGTGGGTTCTCAGATTTGCTAAAAATATCAAAACCACTTGAGATAAAAGAATTTTGAAAAAGCTGTTTATGGTCCATCATGCTCACTGCAGTATTTCCAAGCATGATCACAAAAATAGCAGCATACTACATAAGTCATCATTCTTAAAGCATTTAACTGCACATGCTCAAGACAGATGAAGGATGACTTATGACCAAAGTGACTAGATGATGATGACTTCATTGTTTTTTATCCCACTGAAGAAGCTGTACTGAAAAATTGAAACAGACTTAGTTTCTGTACCACAAACTATGGCCTGGTTCTCATGTAATGCTAAGCCAGGTAAGGCAACCTTTCAGGATCCACAGATACATCTGCAATTTTTTACAGATCTGGTGATGCAATCTTTTACCAGACCTGTTGGCAAATTTATCATTCTAACCTATGAGCATTCACATTTAGGAATCCCACTTTCCTTGTCCCTCCTTCTTTTTCTCCTCCCCTGGTTCTGCTGACCACCACTTTCTCTTCATCCTGCCCTCACCTGCAATCTCTGCATTGCGCCCCCCCCCACCCCGCTTGTGCACCTTCCCCAGCACCAAACTGTTAGGCATCACTGAAGCACAGAGTAGGAAGTAGGAAGCTAGCAGATCAGAATCTGATATTTTTGCTCATCTGCAAGATAATTCATGACTAAAGCAACAAACTATGTTCAACATGAAACATGGTGCAGCATTATGTGAACAAAGTGTAAGAATGGACTGCCTGTGTACCACAGGGAGCCTTCTGTAGCATCTGCCACCAATCTCTGCAGAGAACTGGAATGGAAACATGTACAACAACAGTTTCTAATTTTTCCATTCCACAGGTCATACAAGTATGCTACAGCATGTGTAATCATGCATGTTAAAGGATTCACACAATCTAGTATAGAACTCCCCAGCCCAGTGCCTTCCAGTTGCGTTGGATGGCAACAGACATAATCTCCAATTGCCAAACTGGCTTAAAATAGGAGTTACAGTCTAATACATCTGGAGGGCACCAAATTAGGGAAAGCTGATCTCATAAGTAGGCCCCTTGCACTGAACACAGACATACGCACAGTGTAACAACTTCCTACCTCATGAAACATGCTTGTATTAAATTCCACTGATTAGGAAGGGAATAATACATTTTTCTTATGAGAATGAACACAGCATACAATTTTATTGTATTTGACTTACTTATATTTAACTCTCACTAAAAAAGTTAACAGAGCTTGAAATTCTGTGGATTTTGAAAATAAAAAAAATGTAACTTACATAACTTACTGATTATAACATTAACAACTCAACAGCTACTTTTAACACTGGAGGTAAACATTTGGCTCAGCTCTTGGGTTGCATCCTGCATTAATCTCAAAATGAGGTTTTCATGCTATTCCAGTGAGTATCCCTGGAATATAGTAATCCATTTTCTACACTGTGGCTATAAGAAAAGCCGACTGTGCCTATGTCATGCTTTGTTAGAGGTTCATGATCACATTATCTCATGGTGGACCTGACACTTTTATTCAGTTTACAGTATGTTCTGTGTACAGGCAACTTATTTCCTTTGCCAGGGCTGCTGACAACCTTTTCCACACTATATTAATCTTGTTTACTGACTTTATCTTGGTACAAATATCAGAAAACTGAACTTTTTATCTCGGGGAGAAAATAAACAATGTGTTGACAGAAGCAGAAGCTATTTTCTGGACTAAAATTGGTTGTTTACCTCCAGCCATACTTATGGAAAATGTTTTAAGACTCCAACTTGCTCAAGATACATAATCCATAATTTAATAAATGTGGAGATTCCAAGGAAAGTCACTCAAATACACTGGAAAGGATAAGGAAAAATGCATACAAAATAAAATATGATTTGCACATAATCTACACATAAATATAAGAATGTTTTATCTACTCAACAACTGACTAGAATTTTTATTTCTTCTATATACCATTTATATTTTATTATAATAATTTTCTGTAATAATCCACTTCCTAGCATTCTGTAAATAAGGAAGGTTGGAATAGTTTTTCCTGCGGATTCTACTTACCCCTAACTGTTACTCTCCAAGTTGAAAGCCAGTAAAGGGTATCTGTACAACCCCACAAATGATCAAAATAAGAGGCAGCACTGGCAAAGGATAAAATTGGATGTGTACTGGGGCTGTAGATTCTAGTGGAATGTTTTTTTGATTTAGTGGATTACTTGGAAATAAATCTGTTTCAAATGTATCCAATCTCTGTGTGAGATAGATCCCCAGTCTATTCAAGTTACGTGAAAGACATCAAGAAAATCATTTTCACACAGAATATTTTTAAGGCATATTATATAAAACTTGGTTAAAATGCCCATTAGAAGTGGGGAAAAAACATGTTGCTGGATTAATGTAATCTTCAATTAGAAACACAAATATTAATGACTTTAGAAATCCTCTGAGAAGGTTTATATATTCAGTCAACCATTCTTCTCATCTGAGAGTACAAAACAGAATGCAGATACATAAGAGATTGAAGAACTATTTAGAGATGACTAAAAGGCAAGCCTAGAAAGGATATGGGAGCTATGGTTAAATAATATTCTTTTCATCTATTCTCATTTTAAGGTTTAAGTCATACTTAAAAAAAAAACAAACCTGTGCTGTAAAGTACAATGAAAATAGGAAGTCACAAAAACAACTGTTGACAGGGTCAGGCCAGGTAATTCTGCTGTGTTTAGAGTGAGTGTATACAAACCTAAAGAAGGAAAAATGTATTGTCAAATTAGTGTCCAGCTTCATGTAGCACGCTGTGAGTGGCCTCTGCTGGCTAACCAAGGGCTACATAAGTCACCTTGTCATCTATTATTATGATGGTAGCTTCACAGTGGCTAAAGAAATGCCTTAACAACAAGTTTACATCTTTTATTAATATATTAAGTTTATATACTTCAAGAACGACAATCAATATTCTGAATTTAAGCGCAAGGTGATAATATAAAAGTATAAACAGCAAGACAGCGGTAATCATTTCTTTGAGTTTTATCTTCTATGTTGGCATTGATATTTGCAATTAAAAAACCAATTGATCCTAGTCCTATTATTTCTGCCATGCTCCAGCATCCTCTTTGGAAGAAGAACTAGAGCCTGCATTGGACTCTGACCCTGCACCTGCCTGCTGAGTTGCCTTGGAATGTTGCTGCCTGCCAGTGAGATGGCCAAGGCCTTGCCTTCTGCCTGACCACTGTGGAACACTTGACCCATGTATCTAGGATCTGCTCGGCTTAGAATCTGAACAGGTAGCATTTCATTTCTCTTAGTCATTGCAGTAAGAAAAAAGTTGCAACCAAGGTTGTAGTCCACATTCCACTGAAGTCAACCACAACAGTTTGATTTATTGTAGCAGTTGTTGGCAGTGCCGTACATAGTCTGTACTAAGGGAAAAAAGGAAAAACCCTGAGTGCACTACCACTACAACCACCACCACAACCAACAACAACCATCCTAAATGTTGTGACCTGTATTAAAGATGATGACGAAACAAATCTGCACATACAAGATGGAGAATGCATGACCTAACAGAAGTGAAAAGGAAAAAGATCTTGGAGTAATTCTGGACAATAGGCTAAATGTGAGCCAACAATGTGATGCAGCCGCCAAAAGGGCAAATGCTATTTTGGAATGCATTAACAGAAGTATTCCTTCCAAAGTATGATAAGTAGTAGTTCTTGTATACTCCTCACTGGTTAGACCTCACCTGAGATACTGTGTCCAGTTCTGGGCACCAAGATTTAAGAAAGATGCAGGTAAATTAGAAAGGGTCCAGAGGAGGGCAACAAAAATGATCTGGTGTTTGAAAACACTGCCCTGTGCGGAGAGAGTGAGAGAACTGGGAATGTTCAGCCTTGAGAAGAGAAGATCTCTATAAGTACTTTAAAGGCTGACACAAAGAGGAAGGTCAAGATCTTTTCTTGCTGGTGCCAGGACACGGCATATTCCTTAGGACACAGAATAAGCAATTCAAGTTGTGACAACCCAGATTCAGGCTGGACATCAAGAAAAGCTTCCTCACTGTCAGAGCAATACAGCAGTGGAACCAGCGGTCTAGAAAGGTGGTGAGTGTTTAGAATGAGAGACATTCAAAAAGAAACTGGACAGCCCTCTGAGTGAGATGGT